GAAAGAGATTTGGTGGGGAGAGTCCATTGCTGTAGTACAAGTGTTATTACAGAGCACTCCCCACCCTACATCCCCTGAAGCCATTGGCCTTTGACCCTCCAGGGGTAGGAAGTGGGTAAGGTGGGAGCGGCCCTTTGTAGGAAGCGAGGTTTCATATGACATGTTGGTCATCTCTCCAGGATCCGTGTCCATGGCGAAGAACAGTGGGGGCAGATAATAATAAACTCCTGGGGACTGCAAATAATCTCCTGCTCTGGAATCCATTTGATAATTTCTCCTCTGAGGGAAAGTTATCTTTTAATTCTAAGGCCAGAATTCCAGCTAGACTTATCTCTAAGCCAGCCACCCCCCACCCCACATTACTAGGGGCACAAGTGGATAGGGAGGGCAACTGCCCAGGGTACCTATGGATTCTTTACTTCACCTAGAACCTCACCTCCAGATCCGATGCCCACAACCTGCCTCAACACAACACAACCACACATGTGACCTCAAAGATGAAAGGAAATAAAGAATAGCTACCTTCCCCTACCCCCACTAAAAAATGAACACCCCCCCCCATGAAATCTGTTCTTAAGCTCATATTGAAATATTTTTGTTTTATTGGCAACTGACTTATGATGAGGAAATCAGAGCTGGATATGGTAAAGAGCAGAGAGGTAAACGGCAATCATCCCCCCATACCCCAGGACTAAAAATTTGCTGAAGAACCCACAAAGTAGTAATTCACACGCAGTAGTTGAAATTAGTGCGTAGGTCTCAGACTCCTACAGTGTGTTTTCTTTTGAGAATTCAAAGCACAAGCCCACCTTTGACCTCAAATGTGTCTGCATTTCACTGACTGGAAATTGAGAACTCTGGAGTCCTCCCTCTTGGGGGAGAAAATGAGATCCAGAGGGGAAGCACTCTCTCAAAGGGAGGAAGAGGTGGGATTAGCACTCAAGGGTCCCAATTCTTCCAGGTTCTCTCCGGTCATCTGATTACCTCCATCCCTGAAAACAGTCACCAATTCCCACACATTCTGGGGAGTGGCAACTCTGGTGCTCTGGAAAATTGGCCAGTTGGGTTCCACAATATCTTTATTTTAGTTTGTGCAAACCCTGGGTTTCTCCCATTCTGTGGACTGTCAGAAGAACGGTGTGGGAAAGGGACAGGTCAGATGTATCTCCTCTCTCCACCAAGCTGTCCAAACCTGTTCCATTCATTCACCTGCTGAAGCTCTGAGGCTGCAGGTAGATGGGGTTGAACCGGTAGATGCCAGTGGTAAGGTTCACATAGTGTCTGCTGTCTGTGTTGCCAATACAAGTACCTAGAAAGGAAGAATCAAGAGGAATGGGGCTTTATGTGAGCAGCCAAGCCAAGGAAGTGGTGGCAGGTGGGCTACCTGGGAAATTGGGACCCCCTGTGTCACCACAGAAGATGTCTGGCCCTTCCTTGGAAGGCTGCGGCTATGAATTTTTGTCCTTCAGGCTACCCATTCTCAAAACCCTTCTAAAACACCACTTCAGCCAGGAACATGGGATATCTTCCCAAAGGCATTAATGAGACATCCCTTGAATGGTCCAAAGTGCCCTCTCTCCGTGATGACCATGGAGGCCAACAGCATCATTTCATACCCATAGCCAGGTTACTCTAGAAATCTAGATAATCCAGAAATCTAAGTACATCTTCCTTATTGCCTGAGTTTTCTTGTATATCACCCAGGTCAGAAATAAACACTCTCTGGGGGAATTTTACTGCTATAAAATGCAATCTTCTTCAAGTAGAACATAATTTCCTGTTATTCTTGTCCTCTGAAGGATGACTCTGTCTTCCTAGAGTCAAACTTCAGGTTTGCAAAGTCCCAGGATACTCTCTAGTGTCCCACGCTCTTGAAGGTAGCAGGTCACCCCATTCCCCAGTAGGAGTGTTCTTTGAAAAAAGACCCCCTGGAACATCAGTTAAAGTGTGGTGGGATGATCTGGGATGGTAATTTGTGTTTTGTTCTACTTTCCACTCCTAGTTTTAAATGGATAATCAGCCCCTTCACAATTCCTGGCTTTGGGGATTTCTGCCAGTTGATGCCTGCCTATCTTTACTCTGTAAAAGCCCAACTCTGTTGATGGGATTATGGCAGGTGCTCCAGAAAGGAGAGGGTAAGATAGGGAGCCTTTGAGGGCCACGAGAGGAGAATCTGGGAGTGTGCAAGCCAGGGTTCCTAGATGGTGGGGACCCAGGCCCTGCTCTGTGGCAGGAGTCCAAGCAGGTGGCAAATCTCAGAGGGTACATTCAGGGTATGTTCTTGGGTCTAGAGTCAAAGATCTCACCCCCTAGACAGGCCAGGGAATCCGAGGAAATCTGCAACCTGAAGTGACCTTGTGGCCAACAGGACAATGGATGTCTCAGAGGCAACCACAAGGACCGATGGCCACGGACTAAGGGATCCTGATGCTATGCTGTCGCATAAGACCCCAAGGGCCTGACTCAAGGTGGTGGTGGTGGTGCTTGGAGGCTTCAATAATGTCTGAGGTTGAATTTCTGAGGAGTGGATCTGATTTAAGTTGATTAAAAAAACAAGGCTGCTCTTTTCCCCCATACCCGAGAAGCTTATGGGTGCAGAATTTCACTGTAATCTCTTTAAGGGCCCATGCCTAGCACAGGGGCAGGTCCTAAGTATTAATATTAGCTTAGAAAATGAGAGAATCCATGATTAAAGTTAGATAAAAGGAAAGTGAACACAGGTTTCACATTAGAGCACCTCTCCCTCACATCACAGACCACAGATTCTCAAACTGTGGACAGTCATCATTCCAGTGTCAGAATCCCCTGGGGTATTTGTTAAAAAGGCAGATTCCAGGGTCCTCTCCAGAGCTGGTTAACCTGAATCCTTGGGAGTGGGTCCAGGTAATCTGCATTTTAATAAATTCCCTAGGTGATCCTCTTCTCCTGTTAAATTTGAGAATCACCATCTATACAGCATAGACTTGGAAGGTACGCGCCAGAAGACTGGGAAAGGGGTGGAGCGGCGCTGCTACCGGGATGGGTGAAGGGGGTTAATTCAGATGCGACAGCCAGGAGGAGTTTCTGGGCTGTGGATTTTGAGCTCTGTTGCTGAACTGCTATCCTAGAATATGGATCAGAACCAGATGGGGAACCTGGGCCCCTCTGTGGCTCCTCCAGAGGAGGGGGAATCGGAGCTGATCCTCTCCTCCATGCCAGACTGGCTGGCCTATAGGTTAAGCAAGGACCCGGGCTTGGCTGACCTAATTTATTGTTTCTGATCCTTTCCTGTTTGCTTTTTCACTTCTACTCAGAGGGGAAAATACAGCTCCAGTCCCATCAGGAGAGGAAGCAGCCAGCTGTTTCCAGGCTGAACAGCTGGGGTGGGGGTGAGGCAGTGGATATTAGACAGGATACAGTTCCAGCCCCCCTCCCCCCAGCCACAGCTGATGAAGTCATTACCTGGGGCAACAATGTTGACTTCCGGGAAGACAGACTGTATGGTCTGGCGGAGCAGCTGGTAGCCCAAGGCCTGATCATCAGAGGGGCTGACAGGCAGGGGGTCAAAGGCATTCAACACGTGGAACTGGATCCGGTCGTCAGCCACAATGTCCTTGGCTAGTTTTAGGACCTTGAGGGAGGAAACAAAGGGAGTTCGATTTATTAATCTGCTCTCCAAGTACTGTATGAATTTAAACAGTCTTGATTTCTCTCCAGCGAGGCAGAGCCCTGGAGTTTACAGAGGAGACTCATTTTGGCACTGGGACCTCAATTTCAGCCGACTGGTTGTAGGAGACAGAAGGGCTGGTCTTCCTGGAAATCTACAGCATGGTAGATTTAGGTTAAATATTTGGGAGGTTGCCTTACAGCCACGAGGAAGGTGGGGGATTGAAAGATCAGGAAATTGGGTCCTTTCCCTTGGGTTGAGAACCATGGGCTGGGTGAAAATGTAGAATAGACAGCACAGTGGAAATCTCAACCATCTCGAGACAGGGGGATAGATGTGATGACCTCACTTCAGCCTGGGAGAGTCTCTGACAGATGGTGACAGGGTCATATACTTTCTTTCTTTCTTCTCTCTGGGCATCCCTGCTTCCTCTTTGAAACCAACTGCACTGGAGCCAGGAAGATGAGCTCAACAGACAAGAAGTCAGGAGTTGGGGGACTGGTATTCAAGTTTTCTCTCTGTGCCTCCTTTCCTCAGGAAGGAACCTGAGGAAGCTTCTAGAAAATTCAGTCTGAAATGACTAGAGCTGAACTCAGCAAAAGTCCTGGTCCCAGGCAGGATGTAGACCAGACCCTGAGGATCAGGTCCCGTGGAGCCATGTGGGAATGGACCAGGCAGCTGACTTAGGGTGGGCCCCCAAGCCCGCTCAGCCACCCAAGGAAAGCCCCAGCACTAGTCTCAACCCATCTTATCAGCAGTTGCTTTAGAACTGTCTCTGCCCTAGAAAGGGGAGTGTCTGTCTCATAACTGGGGGGCATTATCTCAAGAGGACCAGTTTTAGGTCAGTGTCCCCTAGAAGCATGCTATGAGCTGAGTCTGGGAAGAAAATGAGGGTTCCTACTTCTGGCTTTGAAACCACCATTTAAAGCAAACCAAATTCCCTGCTGTTGGATTAGGGGTAGGAGCCAATTCACTTGTCAGAGCTTATCTAGCACTTATGTCCCTAATACTCTGCTACAATAATTAATATATAGTCTGGATATATTTTTGACCCACTGGAAAGGTTCCTGAAGTCATCCCCAGAAGTGTCTGCTGCTCCCTGTCCCAACCTACTTTAAGGTTCCTGCCTCCAGAAATTGAAGACGGCACACAGATTGGACCACCCTCAATGAGCACAAGAGCCCAGATTTCCCACCAGCTGTTAGGATAGGTCCTGACCCAAACACCTCATTTCTTTATTTCTAGTACGAAGAACATAAAAGGCATGCAATGAACGTTGGATATACACATTTTAAAAGATGTGAACCAATAAAAATAATAATGGGAGTTGTCTCATTAAGGCGCTTGCCCAAGGTTTATCCAGTTGGTATTGCTGGGCTGGGTATCCGAACGTGGTCTGACTTCACAGGGATGATGCTTTACTGCTTCCAAAGTACCTACAGGTTGAGGTGGCGTGGAGCAGAGCCAGAAAGAGGGTGGTGTTCATTTAAGATGGATTCCTTTGTGGTATGAATTTTGAGCCAGAATTTGAAGGAAGGATACGAAACTGATGGAGAAGAGGCAAGAGGCAGTCTGAGCATGGAGAGGGGCATGTACAAAAACTGAGGAGTAACACCAAACTTTGTGCCACAGACAGCCACTTACTGCTGTGTGATGTTTGGCAAGCTGCTTAACCTCTGTGTCTCAGCTTGCTCATCTGTTAACAGGAGGATAATAGTAGCACCTACTGGTAAGGTGGTTGTTACCACTACCGGAATATATGTAACGTGCTTAGGCTGGTTCCTGGCACTCCATGTATTTTAGCTGTTATTTGCCAGTTTAGAATGGAAGGACCACCCTGGGCAATAATCAGAGGCACAAGGATGGGACTAAGAGAAGGGACTCATCAATGGTAAGAGGGGCCTCAAAGGTCACTGTAGAGCACATTGATCCCTCATTTCTCTGAGCTCTTTTCTATTTTATGTGAAGCTGTATTTTCCTCTCAAGTGAATGATAAATTCGTTGAAGGCAAGGACAATGTGTACTTAAAATTGGTAAGGTCTTTAGAGTTAGCAAGACCAGCTTCTATCCTACTGAAAGGCTGTTCATTAGATCGTCTATGACAGGCTGTCATCAGCTTGTCCTTGAATATTTCCAGGGGCGGAAAGCTCACCGTCATGTGTTTTAATATATTCCACCTTTGAACAACCCTGTTATGAATGTCTTCCTAATAATGAACTGAGGTATGGCTTCCTGTAGCATCTAACCTCCCCCCCCACCTCTTTTTATTTATTTTTTAAATATTCTGTAGAGTCCACAGGATAAAATAGTACAAGACACATCAGCAGGATTTCACCTCTGTTGAGAATAGAGGCCTGTGCTCTTGCTGCCTGAATGCTGCCCCCAGGTCTTTGCTCCTTCTTGGGTTTCAGTTTGATTGCTTGCTTACTGCTGTCTCTACCCACTAGCACCTAAGCCCCTTTAGAATGGGAATCTTGGCTTGTTCACCATTTTCCCAAGTGCTTGGAAGAATGTCTAGCCCATAGTGGCCACTCAATAAACACTTGGTGAATGAATAAATGAAGGAAGAAAGGAATTTTCTGTAAAACACTCTAGATAGGTGGACATCCAGCCTCTGAGAAGCTCATTACCATCCAAGGTGCCATACTCCAAAGCTCTCCTTTAAGTGGGGGCTCCCTGAAGTATCTCCCAGTGGCCTTATTTCTACTCCCTGAGGCCCATGCAGAACAAAGTTTCCTTTCTACCTGGAAGCCTGTTACATTTCTGAAGGCGCTTGTTCCTCACAGATGGGTGCCGGAGACCTATCTACATCCACGACATGGGAGAGACCAGCTAAAGATGGAGGAAGTGGGCTCTGGGAGCCATTTAAGTTTCCATCGGATCCAGCGCAAGGCTCTGCACCCTTGGCCCTCAGACCAGCAGGGAGTGTCCCTGATGCATGGAATTGGGGCACGAGGGAGAGGAGTGACCAGGACAAAGAGGTGCTGCGTGCTTTTGGGATGACAGGGGCTTTGCATTCCTCCCTGGGGCAGGTGAGCAGGATGGGCCTAAGGATTCCGGAGATTTCACGAGATAGGCCGGGAAGGAAGGCCCCTGTGGCAGGGGACTGGAGAGGAGGGAAGAGTGCCAGAACCTGGGGAGATGAAAGCCCCAGCTGGTGGAAAACAGCCCGTGGAAAGGGCATGGAGTTGGAATGAGGATGGAAAAAAAACTGGTGGAAAGAAGCTCAGTGAGGGGAATTCAGTGATTTCCTGGTCCCATGAGTCCCCAGGGAGAGGACAAAGGTTGGCACTGGATGAAAAGCAGCAGAGCCCAGGGCTTACACTGTCCCAGATCCCTGCCAATGCTGGGTGACTCTGGGCTGGCTGTCAACTCATCCCCCCAACCCCTGCAATGAGGGGTGTGCCTCCCACCCTGTGTGAAGACACACAACATCCTCCATAGGGAAGGCCCCAGGGAGAAAGGACCACAGAAGTCTAAATGTGGCAGACCCTCGATGACCTGACCCTTACCTTGTTTAATCCTGGAACATATCATTCATCTGACAGTTGTTAGGTTGCTTTTTTTGATCCTTTTCAGAAGGATCAGATTTACCTTCGAAATTCTTTTTAGCTCAACCTGATGTTTAAGTAAGCTAGCCTTTCCTACAGATGTCAAACATTCTGTGCATTTCTTTTCACCCTTTAGCTTTCAGTTCAAGTATCACATCCTTAGGGAAGCCTTGCCTGACCCCACAGACAAGGTCTGGTTCCTTGTTATATTCTGTGATAGCAGCCGGCCCCCTTTCCTCATAGCACTCATCACGGTTTGCAATTATACATTCATTTTTATAATTTTAAGATTGATGTTCATAGCAGAACATTGCAAGGCGCTGTCCGCAACCCTCTTCTCTCCAAACTTCACACACCCTTCCCACGGGATCTTATTGGCTGTAGAGGTTTCAATTAATAATAGTCCAGTCTCTATCTCTAGTTCATTCTTTCTCTAGATCTGAGGTATTTATACTTGCCTATTAATATATTAGAAGTTTCTCAAATTTCTAAACCCTTATATTTCTCTGTGAACTTGCTCTTCTTCCTGAATTCCCAATCTTGGTTAAAGGCATCAGCACCTGGCCAACTACCCAGGTTTAAAACCGTGGGGCCGTCCTGCCTTTCACTCACCCCACATCCATTACACACAGCAACCTGCTGAA